CATAGAAGAATCAACCAATGAATACATAAATAAGTGGAACAACAAATCTACATCTCTTTCTCTCTTTCTCTCTCCCCCCTTTTGTCTTTAACAAAAAAGAAGTATAGTTATTGATAATGATATGGCCTATAGTCTGTTACTGTGAGAGTGGGTGGTTGAGATACTGTGGTCAAGTTTATTTGGATAGGAATTCATGGATTAAAGTAGGAAAAATATAGACAGAATCATATAAGTAGATATTAATGTTGCCAATAATTAGAAGTAGTGTTGGAGGAAATGACAGCCAACCAGTGCTAACATTTTTTAAGTAATAAGGAGGAATGATGTGGGGGGTCTATACATGACTACAATCAGGATGGGCAATGGGTAGTACAGTTTGATAGCAAGAGATTCATAGGTGAGGGTTATCAAGGAGAAAGGAGGGACAATAATCTGAAAGAGTCAGTTGTTTGAAAGCTGCAACACAGCATAAAGGAAAGGATGAGGGTACTGGGGAAGGGGATGTACAGAGGGTAATGAGAGATGATTAGGAATTTCTGGACTTCTACTTTATAGCAATAATAGTGTCTTGTTTTCCAAATTTTCATTTGTTTGATTACATTAAGTTGAATTTTTTCATATGTAGGTGACAGGGTTACTAATTGTGACCTTAACTTGTTCTCACTAAATTTCCTCTCCCCAAGTTTATGGAGGGTTCATTTTCTTGGGCAGGTACACAGGTTATACATAATACTGAAACTTAAAAACTGTCTCTAAATCTCTTGCTGGATTTTTTTAAGCCTAAACTCTCTTACATAATTATGTTAAGTCATTCTTGTAAAGGGAAGGGAAAGATGTAATTATGTTTTACATGGAGTGAGGTGGGGACATAAGCACAAGAATTTAGTGGGAAAGAGAAAGATTCCCCAGAAATAAGAAAGGATATGGGGCACTGTGGTTTCTAAAGCAACAGGGATTCATGCCCAGCCATCACCCAGGGAGGTAGTGTGATCACAGTGGATACGACCCTAAATATCTGGGCTCCTCACTTTGACAGAGATTTCCATGGCCACGCATGACACAGAAGTCTGAGCCACTGCAAGAAACTAAGAGACAAATAAGTGTATCAATGTTGACCAGTGTAGATTATAGACCACTGGGGTATCCCTGGATTTTTTTTTCCCTTCACTTGTGCAACCCAAATGGGTGAATGAGGAAAGTCCAGGTAATGGTTAAGATTAAATTTCCTCTCAGACTGGTGGGATAAAAAAAGCAGTTCAAATAACCATTTTTGGTATTGGTTTGGTTTTTGTACATTCAGGTTTGCAGAGTACAATTCATAAATACTTTTGGCAAATAAAGAACCTATTATTCCAGCCTGATATATATTACTTTTACTTGTAGGGAGAATATTTTCATTTTTGTGTAGTCCATTTTGCTGTGAACTTCATTATATTCATTTCTGACTATCTCAACTTGTGAGACTCAACTCCATGGTGTTTTATGCACACTTTTAGACTTTTGGAAAGATGGTTCCAGTTGGCATGCATTTTAATAGCTACCTGTTCACCTGCAAGTCATACACACTCTTAATCTTCTAAAAGTTACCTTCGAGGAAAGTCTGGAATAAGATATATCTGTTTATGGAAACATAATTTTAAGTTTTGGATCAAAAAGGATTTATTGAAAGCTTTGATGACCACTAAATATGGCTCAGGGTACTACAACAGAGTCAATCTTGTGGAAAAAATCACATGTAAACCAAATGTTTGTACAAAACAGTCAGTTGAATGGCTTGTTTGTGCTGTTTTTATGTTATTAAACAATCTTTGTCATTACTCATGATCTTTGACCAAAGGGTCATAGTGGTCCCTTATATGTTGTTTTTAAAGGTAAACAAAGCTTAAAAAGACACTACTTTAATTTTATTTTGACCTATCCTTTAATTTCAGTTGTGTAGGGTAAAATCATTTCAAATTACCCAAAATAGGTCATTACATTTTAGTTACCAGAACACAGATGGTACCTTGATGAAATTAATGGATTTGTGAATTTTGATTTTAAGCTCTTGTAAATAAAATAGCAATAAGAATAATCAAGGTAAAGAAGGTCCAATTCTCCCTTTCAACTCATGTTTTTCTTGAGCCTTTGCTGTATGTTAAGCAGCAAATGAGGCACTTTGATATATGGGGTAGCAAAGCTCTGAAAAAAAGTTAATCTTGAACCTGAGTTTTTACTCATCTACCAAGTAGGCAGTGGATTAGCTTCTGAAAACATAAATCCATATAGAATGAATTTTACTTCATCAGAAACTAATCTTTTTGAATTAATTGACATGGTTGTGATCAACATAAGACATGACATGTAGCACTGTTTTCTGAAACCTCTCTGGCCTTTACTTCACTAGCTGCCTCCATTCAATTTTTGTACTTAAAGACCAGCCATACTCAATGGCTTTATTAATTCTTAAGGTTCAAAGGCCCTATAAATAAAAAAGTGCAGTTATATTGGAAATTACAGTATTGGGAAACGATTCAGTTAATAGATTCACAGTATTGGAGTCTTTAAACCCACTACTCCCTTTGAGGGTGATAAAATTACTAATAGTGACTTCTATTCATGATCTACTTTGTCCCCATGTTTTGGTAAAAGATCCCTAGGATACAGTCCTTTCTCGACCTTGGAGCATCACCCTGCCCATTCTAATATCAATCTGTGATGATATTTTTGTTCCTTGGCTCATAACATTGTCCCCTAAAATAGTTTAAGTTTCTTGTCAAGCAGAATGAGTCGATTTGATTGTAATAGAGCACTTTGAATTTAGTCTCTTAAAGCCCAGTCAAGCTTGTCATGTCTGAGTAACCCAACTCCTGAATGCCTGGCCACACTGGACAAATTGGGACCATGCCCAGCTGGCCCTACTGGGAAAGCTTCATGAGCATCTCTCCAGAATGTTCCAAAACAATAGATATTCATGACATCTTGTCTTTAATGCTTCTGTGACCTGCTGAGAGAAGTGCTATTATTTTCTAGCCCATTAAAGGGCTCAGCTTCCTTAACAACCTGCCAGTATTATTCCACCTCCTAGTTCCCATCATCAGCCTACACTAAACTCGTTCTTAAATGCTAAGAAACTATAAATCTTTACTCCTCTCATTGGATACGGTTACCCTTTATATAAAGTTCCTCCTCTTCTCCACTGGAATTCAGGACACTGGGGTGGGATGGGAAGGAAGTCAGCATTAAAGCATGCTTGGGTTTAATCCATATCCTGCGAGTCTGTGTGAAGTCCCACACACTTAGAAGAAAATTAATCAGTTTTTAATTCCACCACTATAGCCAGAAAGATTTTAGCCAGATTACTATAGCATGACTTGGCCAAAATTCTTAATGGAACAACAAGCAGAACCCTTAACACCTTCCAATCAGTGCATTATTACACACTTTAAAGAAATGAATATTCCTTGAATCAGTCCTAATTCAGAGGCATTAGAAAGCATATTTCAAATAAAGACATCAATCAATAATTTATTTATTTATTAATTTATTTTTAGAGGTTGAACAATGATTCATTGAAGACTTTCTGATGAAACAATTGGCATTCAAAGATGATTTCAATAATTTTTAAAGTTAGAGCATAGATTGAATACAAATCAATTTAAATAAGCACATTTTCGAAAAGAATTGAAGAATACCTAAAATATCCCATTGAATACATGTGGTATTATTCCTAATTTTATGGATACTGCCTTAATTAAATAAGTCCTGGCAGAAAATAATTAGTGATTAATTTATCTAGAAACTGGTAGCACTGAAAATGTTAAAATTTATGCATTCTAATTGTGTGTGTGGTATGTATGTGTGCGCACATGTGTAATTTCTGTTTTGCCTATTTTACTATCTTAATCATTATCCTTTCTTACTGTTTTCTCTGAGGATCTTACCTTACTTCAACATACCTAATCACTCGGAGCTTTTCTTGACAATCCTTTTCACACATCATTTTCTAGTATTCAAATATTTCCAATAATGCCTTTTATTTTGGTGCAAAAAAATTAAAGTACACTAAAATAAAACTGTACCGTGTCCCAATACTAACTCACAACCTACCACAACATTTCATGCTTCAAATCACGGGCCAGGGAATCGGCTTATCGGGAATCCTCCACCACATTTCTGTGCTAGCCCAGGGCTGCCAGGTGCTGCTGCTACAAGGTAAGGTATTGATATAATTTCTTCTGTCTATTACTGTGTACTGATTATGGCATTTAATTGTCCCTTTACTTTCTTGTTTTAGCTGGCATATGATATAAAAATTCCAGATGAATTAACATATGAATCAGAAATACTCATTACCTATGAACCACTTTAAATATGTTTAGCCCTACTTGGCTATCCAACATTTCAATGTTTCTTCTTTATATATGCCCACCTTGTTTTCTTCACTAAGACCTTATCTTTTAAAGCTCAGTTACACATTTTGCAATCTCTCTAGCCTGTTTATTTTGGGACATTTCTGTAGATACATCTCACTTTTGTCTATGTGTATTAGAATAACAACCACAGAGCACAATGGGAGTTGACATTCTAAAATAGTTTACTTTCATACTGCCTTAAAATATGATTTTAAGATAAAACTTATATTTGAAACTTAACTTTGAGTAAATATTTTGAAGAAAAATGAATTCTTAAAAGACTTGATTCTACATGCTACTTAAAGGAGAAAGTTTTCTGAAATTCAAACATAGCAAGCTCCATTTGCTCAGCGATGAGGTACTTGCACAAAGTTCCCCATGGCCTTTTAGGTGTACAAATTTATAATAATGAAGACTACTTCTAAGGAAATAATTTGACATGAAAGTTTTTTTTTCTCTTTAAACTACTGCATTTAAAAAGTCATTCGAATTGTAAACACTCAAGAATAAGCCAGTTTTAGGATCACATTATTGTATCACAGTAACAGAAACATGAATCACATTTATTTTTTAAATTCATGGATTCGGGTTCTCCTAAATTCTCATTATTGAGCTACTAAAAACTCTTGATATAAGTTGTTAGGAAAATCCAAATCATCATTCCTGGCACTAAGGTGCCAAGAAAATAACATGCTATCATGAAATCACACATAGTCAGCTGCTTTTGTATTTTGCCTAACCAGGTAGTTTGAAAATTATGATCCCACTAGCACTGTCTTCAGATTTGAGAAGCAGGCTAGAGGAATTATACTGAGGTATACTTTGTGGTAGTTCTGTTGTCTCTCTATTGCCCCAGAACTAACCATGGTATGAGGATGGATATGCAGAAATTATGCTTTTCACCAGGTAGCAGTTACCATAGGTGACCAAAAACCACCTATGCATGGCTTCTATAACATATATGGATGATAAACTAGCATGATTTTCAGTACTCTAAATTTGTGGATTTTGGTATCTGATCAGTTTTATTTTTTCAAAATCTTTTCATTTTTTACCTCAAACATTAAGTCCTTACATGTGGACTCATCACTTTAGATTAATTTCCAATTGTACAGAAATAAAAATATTTTTTAAAAAAACACAAATTTTTAGCAGCCAAAGTTTTTTGTTGTTATATTTTTTTAATACCTGAAGGGAAATTTTCAGATAATTTAATATGGGATTGGGAAAATATTTAATGTTGTTTGATGGTCAAATTGTTGACCAGATAAGAATTTTGATAAATTAACCAATCTGTTCTTGGGGGTAGAATTTGATGCCTACATTAAAGTATTAAAAAATAAAACAACAAACTAATTCTACAGTACATGTGTATAGGAGTTCAGTCCTGTATTCAGGCTTGCAAGTGTATTATTTGGTGGTTTTAAAAAGCTATTGCACATCTTTGGGGATTCTGAGGAAATAAAGCATCTGAGGTTTTTTTCCTTTCTTCTTATCGGGAGAAAACCAGCTTAACATTCGGTGAAAAGAACACAACTGATCTCTAACTGTGGGCTTAACTGTCATGAAGCAATGAGAAAATAGGTGGCCTTTCCTCCCTTTTTCACTGTAGTTTTCTACAGGCATATAGGTTGCTCAGCCTTAGTCTGATTTATAGCATAGTCCTTACTATTTTCATTTCATAATCTAACCTTTAGTTCTTTATATGACTTTGCAAATTCCTATATGGTTCTTTGCTACTTTTATTTTTTCTGAAAAAGCTCATTCAGTGCCAATTCTTTTGAAAGCTGCTCAAAATCTAACTCATTACAGGTATCTTTACTCTATGTTATAAAATCTGAATATAGATACTGTCCAAACTGTCCAAAGAATAATGTTTGATTTCACAGTAACAAAAGTTACAAAGTTTGTGCAAAAGATATTGTACACCATTGGAGTACGTAGAGCTTGCTATAGTTAATTTTATATATAAAGCTGCATTTCTCATTAGAACTATTCTGTGCTACATTAAAAGTAAAGTATCTGATTTAATTTTTACCTAATAAAACTGCTCATTTAATCTCAGAAATTTTAAGATGCAAATTGCATATTTATGATGTTTGTAAATGTTGTAATCAATCATTGGATCTTTTAAACATCATAATTGCTTTGGAGCTCCTCAAGTTTTCCAAGGGTCATAAAGTAAACCCGGCTGTGGCGATTGCGCAGGGTAGAGGTAAAGAATAGCTTTAAAAAAGAAAGAAAGACACCATCAGTAAATGTTTAGTACAATGTAACCTGATATTTGTTAGATACAACTATAATTTCAATTTATCTGCATCAATCACTTAAAATATTAAGCCATGCTGCTTTTTAGAATAGAATTTCCTCAAATTAAAGAATAAGAATTTGAAATAGTATGTAGCCTAAGTATATTAAAAAACAACATTTTACCATCTTCTATATAATGGCACTTCACATGATTTAAATAAAATTAGGTTTTTGTAGGTGGCATTTGTCTGCTAAAGTTTTTGATTAGTTTTGGTTAACAATTCTCCTTTGCTTAAAAGATCTACTTTTACTCAAGTTGACTTTCCTTTTGTAAATATAAGGAAATGATTAAACCATTTTGATGTTGTTCACCACTGTTGCTGGTTTTTATAAAATCTTCTACTTGGTGCAATTTTAATTTTCTCTATCAGTGGAATGCACTGACATCAATAGATTGATATTATGAGCTGAACTGATTAGCTTAGAGAGAAACATGTCATGTAAATATGGTCTGTGCCATAAAGATAATTAGAATGGAGATGAAGAAACTAAAGCCCAGAAAGATTAATCAAACTTCCAGGTTCTTATACCTAGTCAGATGGCAGAACCAGGACTGCATCTTAGGTCTATCTGACTTCAAACACTGGTTCTTGCCATTATATTCCTTTATATTGCAAATTAGTACCTTTCCTTGAATCACAGTGTTTTACCTTGATTGTTCTGATATTAAGTGGAATCCTCTGCAATCTCGTCTAAATGTGACTGTTTCCTAGTTTATTAGCGTTATTTCTTTTCATTATTATTTCTCATAATATGTAGGACTGTAATGATTTTATTCAATGCATTTTCCATCTAAACTATCTGGGGTTGATAAAATTGATCATATTACACAAATAATAGCCAAATCTTCATTTTATTTTTCTTTCTTGTAAAATGGACAAAATAATACCCACTCATGAAGATTAAATGTAGCTTTAAAAGTAGTAAGCACAAACTCTAGTTCATAATTAGGTGGTCAGCAGACATAAGTAATTTTCCTTCTGTTATTGGATTATGTTGGAAACTATAAAGGCAGATTTACTCAAGCATTCTGTTTCAAAATATATTAATGTGAACATGAAAAGAACTGTGCATCAAAGATAATAATGGATTTTGCACCAAACAAAATAATGGCTAAGCGTTGCTTAGGACATAATCAGAATTTTTTTACTTTTCTAAAAAATCATTTCTTTTAAAAAATCAAACTTTATTACCAATTCAATGTTTCTATTACCAAATGCAAAATTGTTTTTTATCAATAGTATGCCAATTTTGGAAATATAGCATATATATATATTTATGGTAAGAAGGAAACAGATATAAATTTCCTTAGTTAACTTTCATTGCTTGCTTTATTTTTTCTTTAACTGAAGGCTATATTATACCTTGTCACCTCGGGTACACAGAAATCTCAGCTTCTTAATCGACCTGCGTTTCAATTCACTTTCCAGAAGTCTTGATTGCAAAGAGCGAACTTCAATGGCCTTTTGGCCCCATCCTGTGGTTCTCTGTGTACATTCATAAGCTACAATAAAAAATTAAAAATCAGAAAAACTCAAAATGTTTCTAACAGTGATAGAAAATTATAACCACAGTCATCATTTGACTATTAAGAAGTTGATTATTACAGTTCTTTATTTCCTCCTTCTATGGTCAGTCATTTGGCATTATGCTGCTTAGCAGTGGTTTAAACCAGCTGTTTCTTGTCAGCATTGTGATCAACACTGAATAACTAGACCTCAACTAATTTTGCTATTCATATTCTCTAATACTACAGAAAAAGCTAAGGGTTAATTCTACCTTGGTAGTAGAAAGTCAGATCTACCCACAGCCATTCTTTATTTTACACTCTAGTTGAGGTACAACATTCCATGAGTTTGTAACTGTGTTCAAGGAACATACATGGAAAACTAACTAACTTTTCAAAATTAAAACTGTTAAAATGACTTGCTCAAATAATGACTTTAGCAACTATAATGCAATTCAATGAGTTACTAAGTTATAAAGAGAACTAAAGCTAATTTGATACTGTTAATGTTTTTTCTTGCTCAGGAAATTTTTATAAGATTTCAACTTTTATACTGTGTTTTATATTACTTGGTGACAATAAAGATTGTCACAATTGCTTTCAAGCAGTAAACCTAATTATTTAAATAGCCATACAGTCAGCTTGTGCTGTAGGTATTTTTGACACAAGAGGCAGTATTATTGTTAAATGTTTAACTTTCAAGATGATATTCTTTATGTACTTTATGGGGAAGACAAATTTCCATAAATACAATCCTGCACTTAAAATAATATCAAAATTTTGAGTCAAGTTAAAATAGTCTAGAAAACACTAAAACAAGGCACCTTCACTCCCATATTAACATGACTAAAATTAGAATTCAATTCATTAGACTTTTCATTTTTTTCTATTATAAAGTCAACAAACCCTGCTTTGATATGATTACAATATAATTAAAGATTTGTCCTTATCTGTTGCAAATGTTCTAGGATAAGTATGGACCTGGACAGTATTATTCAAAGTGAAATAAGCCAGCCTGAGAAAGACAAATACCATATGATTTCACTTATATGTGGAATCTAATGAACAAAATAAACTAACAAATAAAATAGAAACAGACTCATAGCTGTCAGAAGGGAGGGTGTTTGAGTGGGTGGGTAAAACTGGTGAAAGGATTAAACAAAAAAAACCCCCACCTCAAAGACAGACAATAGTATGGTCATTACCAGAGAGAAATGGGGGTGTGGGGAGGCAGAAGAGGGTAAAGGGAGGAGAAATGATGATGGAAACAGACATGACTTTGGAGGTGAACACACAGTACAATATACAGATGATGTAATGTAGAATTGTACACCTTAACACTATATAATTTTATTAACCAATGTAATCCCAATAAATTCAATAAAAATAAATATTAACTAAATAAATAATGAACTGAAACTTACCTGACCTATACATATGTACGTTAAATGTGCATAAAAAGACTCATGAAAAAATTATTAAACTTTCATGAAAGTAACTTTTCATAGGCAGTGTGAGCCATTTTGAATCTTTCAGCTAAAACTTAGCAAGAATTTATTTCTTGCTTCCTTTTACATTACATTTCAAGATATTTATGCATATGAAATTGACATAATATTGTAATTAAATTACAATCATATTTTATTGAGACAATGGTCTCCTGAAAGGAGATTTTTATAAGTCCAATTTCAGACTATAATTTAAATCACTCCAGATATAAGAAAAGTTATGGGACTACATAGCCTGAGTGATGAGAACAAGTAATAGATTTTGTCTATCCAGATTTGAATTTGTTCGCCTATGTTAATATGTCATTAAATTTGAATTTTTGTCAACAACCACAGAGAGCAATCATAAGAATCAAAAGGTTCTTAAAAAGTCATCAGGTATAGCTCTTGTCCTTAAGAAAACTTCTGACCTAAAACAAAAGAGATACTTTAGTTGTTAGAATTTGAAAACCATCTCTTTACAATGTAAAATAAATTACAGCACTGTAAGAACATGATATTTTGGTTTGTGTATTAAGGGCACTTTGAGAGTATACTAAAAACTACATCATGCCCTGGCTGGTTTGGCTCAGTGGTTAGAGCGTCAGCCTGTGGACTAAAGGGTCCCGGGTACAATTCCAGCCAAGGGCACTACCTCGGCTGCAGGCTCGATCTCAGGCACATGCAGGAGGCAACCAATCGGTGTGTCTCTCCTCCCTCCCTCCCTCCCCCCCCTCTCTCTCNAAAAAATATCCTCAGGTGAGGATAAAGAAAAAGACTATATCATAACACTGATATTAAAGAAATCAATTACTCTTTTTCTGTCTAAAACTTTTGCTTTGTTATTTAAACCTAACCTAGATCCAGATTTCCCCAATCTAAATTTTACATTTTCTTGAGATATATTAGATTTGTTCAATAATAAGATCATTTCTCTAGATATTCAAAATATATATAGAAGCTTAACAATCACAGCAAATATCACTGACCATCCCAACCCAAATCATAAGATTCCACCTCATAAGCACGCTAGCTCAGTAGCTAGGTTAAGTGGCAGTGTGTTTCAAAATTAAGTCAGAAATTTTGTAATGCCATATGAACTGTGTACTTGACTCAGCAAGTAAGCTGTGCATTAAGTTTAGAAATTTTTGCTCTCTGAAAACCTCCTCCAATTGTTTCAAACAGGTAAGAACTCACAGAGGGTTTAAACCCATTTTAAGTGACGAAAGGTAAATGCTTACAATATAATTAATAGAACTGGGGCAAAGGAAACAGAAAATAATGAATCTTGATCTAACCATTGCAGTGGTACTTTTTGATAAATTTGATAATCAGAAATTGGAATAAGAAAATTCACTTCAAATGGGAAACTGAACACTATGTATGCAAAAATAAAGGATTCTGCAGGCAAAATGCAAAGTGCTATCATTCCATAATCAAGAAAGATGTCCATTAAAAAGCAGTTTTTTTAAACTGGTCCTTATAGCCACATGAGGATCACATTTAGCCCTTTAATAGAGATTTCAGAAGTTTCTGGCCAATCTATTGACAAGCTACCCCTCTCTCTCTTTCTTTCTCTCCCTTTCCCCTTCTCCTTTCTTCTTTATTTGCTTCATTAAACTCATTCCCTTTCCAGGAATATCTATCCTCCATCAAACCATTCTTCTCTCTCTAATATTTTTACTGTTCATATGCATTCTGTTCCCTTAGGATCATCTCTGTAGCCTCAGAGATATATACAAGAGTGTCAAGTTATTCAGATGTCCCAGATCTGCAGTCTTGCATTGGCCAGGAAGAAAAAAATATCCTGTCCTGATGAAGATGAAAAGGCAGTTTTCTTTACTTTGTCATTTAAGTGGTACCTAATAGGCATTCCAGTAAGTCATATTTATCTCTTTGTAAATGAAGGATGATGAAATTGTAACGACAGCCAATATGTCACATATTCAGTTTGTATTTAATTCTTCATAAGACTATTACCCACTAAACAGAACACTATTGACTATATGAAATAGAAACATTTTGCTCTCCTTTTATGAGTATTTGTAAGTCTCCTAAGTGAAAGCTAAACCAAATCAAAGTGATAGAATGAAGCATTTTCAACATCTGTGTAAAATCTGCAAGCAAAGGGAGTTAAAATAAAATTATACATTATTGTGGGAAGAAATTCCTTTCTTATTTTAATTATATGATTATTGCAAATGAACAACTAAGCTAAAATCATTCTCTTTATGTTAGCCTTGTGTATTCATTAAGCATGTGACAAACACACATTACCTCGCTAAGGGAACAACTATGTAGTATCCTAAATTAACCCGATATGCTTTGAGAAAATGTGATACTTCAGGAAATGGAAGGTTTTATGGGATCATGAGAAAGAGGAAAAATTTTATACCTACCTACTGAAGATGGAATGTCTTTCCACACTTCAAGGATCTTCTTGAAGAGTTGTTCATTTGCTTCCATAGAAAGGGCTTCAGCATTGAAGGTGAGCATCATGCCAATTCCCAAGGAATCAGGTAAAATGATGATATTCTGTGGTATAATGATTTCCAGGGGCTGGAATTATGTTTCATAAGGATTTATATGTCCAAAATTTAATCACTACTACCTTAATTGATTCAGATTGGTTGAGCAATAAAGATCAAAAGGGGGTTCAAAGTTTTGAGAGGAAGAAAATTTTTAATCTCAATATTAAACAGCATGCTATCCAACACTTAAAAAGAGCCTTCTTTATGTCATAAAGTCATCACTATTTAATATCTTCCTTTACATTTAGGAGAACTCTGCTTGAAAAAAGCAGAGATTTATTTCCAACACACAGAAATTCATTGAAATTTCACAAAGTATTATGAATACTGATAGAAGAATTATTACTTGTTACAGAGTTGGATTTCAGGACATTAATAAGTACTTTAGTAATGAATGAATAAATTAAGTAACAAATACACAACCACTGGTTATACACCAATTCATTCAAATCAGAAATAAAAAATTAACTTAAAAATTGCTTGAGCTTAAAATGTTCATAAGGGGCAGTCTTATAATACTCTTCACTGCTTGAAATATAAGTCACCCTTCCTTCACAAAAATGTAGGATTTCTTATTCAATTAATAAAATATTAAAATACCTTCAATACACAAATTCAGAGATGTATAAGGTGACAATATCAAAAACTAAGAAATATCTAAGAATTTTTAAATTTCATGATGCATAAAACAGTGTGACAAAATTTGCTTAAACTACAGATATTGTCATGTTGATAGTATTTCCCTGAGAAACAAACAATTACATTCCTCTATCATTTCTCCAAATAAGCAAATTCCAAGAAAAAAGTCAGAAACTATACTTGCCAAACGCAGCGTACTCAGGCCAAGTGCTTGAGGCCATGTTTCAGCAACAACAATCCTTAAAACTAAAATGGGTACCCAGAGGCAAAAAGCAATTTTTATGCGTTCCCTGGGCACTAGCATGAGCAACTGAATCAGAAAAGAGATGAAGGAAGAGAGAAAAAGAAATTGCAAGAAAGACGGTTGCCTCAAGAAAATCTGTTTAGAAGGTGGACTTCTGTAATTCCAGACAGCCTGAGAGGTAATTCCCTTGCTTATCAGATAGTTCCTGAAGTAACCAGATATTTTTTAGTACACATGGCTTCCTTGTACCATTACAGCTTTTGTAATCTAACACCCTTGAAAAAATATAATTTTTAGTACATTCTGTTTCAAAAGAACTCTCCCCTCCCTTATATTAGAGCCCTTTCTTATTTAGTGGGTCAAGACACTAGGGTGCTTAGCTAAAAATACTATTTTTGAATATACTTGAGATACCCTAATTAGGTCAGAAAAGTTTTTTTTTTTTTTAACTCATCTTCTCTCCTTGCTTCCACAATAATTACCTGATTGCTTCAAAAGCAAATAATTCTCCTTGACTAATAGTCAACTGGAACACAGGGTTTAATCTCCTTGAATACTTTTTTTAAAATAAGTATAAATCTGGACGAGTGCTGCAGTGTTCAGTACTGTACTAATTTCAAAACAAAGCTATGTGACATGACATTTAAAAATAAGATGCAGCAAGCTATGGGAGATACTCCAACTGGAGTACTGTAATATTTAAATCAAAATGAACTTGCAGTCATATCTAAATGGCTTTAGCATGGCTTGGTTGAGTATTTTCCACATTATAAACAGGGTGAATTCTATATAATCATAGGTGACAACTGAGTGATCAGTTAATTATATTGTTCATATGACCAAACTTTTAAAAAATGTCTCCACTAATGATCAGACAATTGCTCTATGTAATTTGTCAGAGATATGTGAAATAATCCTGAATGTTATGCAAAATATCACATTACTACAGTGATTTAAAAGTATAGAAAGCCTTCACTTGGACTTTTATGTAATGTTAAACTGCTGAAATTTTAGTTGCTGACAAACTGGGGAATTAAGAAAGGGTGAAGCAGATTGGTTTGTTCAGCCTTTCTTTTTAAATATAATTTTCAATAGGACAAATATCATTGCTACCAACAAATTTGAGGCACAGCATAATTATATTTTGTATGGTGTGTATCTGTGTGTGAGGAGTATTATGTTATGTTCCAGATCTTTATATAAATGACGTATATAGTATTTTTACAACTTCCCATTTCTTAGACGTGTCATGTTTTCATTATTTACAATTATTTAAGAATTGAGGTGAATTAGCTTTTTAAATGCTGAATCCTTTGATCAGAAATTCTAACTATAATTGATACTATAAGAGAACATTTTACGATAATTTTCTATATATCACAGTTAAAGTACTATAATCTGGATAAAGAAAGGAAGTGTACATAATAATGCTGCAATACTGGTGGCGTATTTTTAAAAGAATCTGTTAATGCATTATCGGATGCAAATGGACTAAAGTAAGGAATGCAATATCATATGCCTTTTAGTGCCAGTTATTGTAAATACATAAAGATAAATGGATAGAGAATGTATAGCATATATTCCATCTAAAAGGAAGCAGGCACAAATCAGTTCTAGTTGATAATGATTTGTTTGTAATGTGGGTCTGATGTCAGATCTTTTGGTTTATCAATAGAACTTCAGATTTTTAAGTGTAAACTCTATTCATTTAAAAACAAAAACACTGTGCTAGACAAACACTATTTGTCTACAGAACAGACAGTTGTCTGGACTAAGAAACCATCAGTAATTTTTGCTTATACATTACTACTTTCTGGCACTCTATACTTACCTCTTAGGTCTCAGTTCCAGTATAGATATTGATAATCATAGTTTTAAATCTTTAAGATTAGTTTTGACAGTTGTGAAAAACTCAAATTCTGATAAACAATAATTTTCAGGGATCTTACGTTATTTGGCAGGGTCACATCAGACATAACCTCAGATTCTGCATCAATGATGTGATATCCATTTGCTGAGCTGAAGAAAATCTTTAGTCTTTTTTCAGAACCAATAGCTAGGTCAACTGTCACTGGCTTATGACCGAGTGTTGGAAATACCTGTAGATATAAAACCAAATATGGCCAAAAGGCCAAAAATGACACTCTAAGGCAAAAATTCCCCTGCCCTTTGCTTAATAGGTTTATAAAACCCAGGTGATTGTCAAAAATTACATAATGTATTTAGAGATCTATGTATTGCAACTTTTATTAGGTCTGGTACTACAGTAAGAACATAATTATATTTAGATCTTAAATATTGAGTTTCCCTTTGAAGGTCAAATCTCTAATAATCGTAAGAGCCTTGTATGACCCTGGACTTTGTTTGCTGTCTTTAAATTCCTTGCCTTGAGCTTCAGCAAATGAAGGAGCTCATCTGGTCTCTTAAAACGGTTCGCTGGATCAGCTGCCTGTATTTTTGCCAGTATTCGTATATAAGCTTCATAGGACATGTAGTCTCCTTTGGAGTCTGCTGATTGATCAATGCATACTTGGTAGGGAATGAAAAAGGCCAGACATGTTAACCTACTATAGACTGGATGTACTCTAGGCTCCGATGGTTGCTAGTTCAAGGAAACAAAAAGCCAAACAGGATTCATTACCAAGTTCAGGTCACAGTGGAGGACTGGGCATCACAAGATTCACCATACTGCCATCATGAGGTGGTATTCAAGAAAGTGGAGTGAGGACTTGAATCAGGAACTGTGTATCAGGCTTAAAAGACTGTTGGTATTTTTCTTCTTTGCTTTCCAGCTCCATACCAGGCAGCTCTGACCAATCAGCAGACACCCAAGAACGAACCCACATCCAAATACTGACAGCTGACCCATAGCCCAATTTAGGGAGATCAGATCAGGGATGTGATTTTTGTCAGGGCAGGCCCAAACTGTATGTATAGTACTCTTTGTTATTTATAAAATAACATATTTATTCTGCAAATAGACATTGAGGGGCAGTCATAGAAATTAGCTTATCTTTATTGTATACATGTGATAGTGATGTTTTGGCCTACAAAATATACTGTGCAAAGAGATCCTGATCTAAGATACAAAAGTATTTCATAAATACCTAGATGAGATCTATCATGATGTGTCTTTATCAGCACTTTGTATAAAATTTGTAGATGGACCAACTTGTTCAAAACTACCGGGAACATTTGCTAAATATATAGATTCCCAGGCCCCACTCTAGACCTACTAATTGACCTGGGGTTGGGTCTGAGATCTAAACTTTTAGCAAATGCTCCAGATGATTTTGATGCACACCCTAGATTAAGACTCTATATAATGCTGCTAATTTATTAATCAGTCCTCATGACTATGGAATAAGTATAAAATAATCCTATTTAAGTGGAATTCTGGAGCATTATAAAAAGACAATAAGATAAAAGATGTCCCCATTTTATGAGATTAGATTAAAAACTCATCGGCAACTTAATTATTTGGCACGCCAAATGGTTACCTTAAGAGGCTGATCCATAGAAGTTCAGTTAAACCATATAAAGATAGAAATAGTACTGGTAATCCAAATAAGCCTAATCACCATTCCTTGAAATAGTTCTAGAGAAAATGTATTTAGAGTTTCAGCTTGGAAGGAATATAGACTCACTCTTTCCTCCCCATCCCCATCTCTTGTAACCCTGGTAATTAAAGTAAAGGCTTTATCTTCCTTCATCTCTATACCATTGGGTTCCACTTTCTAATATTGCCACACCTTTCCTTCCCTTCCTTTTGTTCTCCACCTCCCCCCCACTAAAATTAAACAGGGACTTTCTCAGCTTTAAGTCATTGGGGTGGCACAGAAAGCCTGTGCTGGGGCTCTAGAAGAGAAGGTCTTCAAGTTGACTACAGGAATTGGGAGTGAGGAGTTGGTGAGGAGGTCCTCTAAGGGAAGGGGTCAGGGATTTCTCTCACACTTTCCCTTGCTGTGGTTCCAGTGAATTGTCTATAAAAAAGGGGGTTAAACGATAATGACTGACATAGTATATTCAAATTAAAATAACTGTAGAAGGATGGTATATATTTCTGCTACTATATTCCAAAATATTTTTCTGTTTACAACTTTTCAAAAGAAAAACATTATCAAAAAGAAAATGAGACCACTCACTTTAATAGCAGTGCTTTCATCAAAGGACTTTGGTGCCCACGCATAAAGGTGAATTGATGATTTCAAAGCAATTGCAATGTATGTTGTTTCTTCATGTTGGACTACAATGATAAAATACAAAGAAGTAACAATACCACAGAGTTAACCAGAACACTCAAGTATTTGTATTTGTTATTGAAAATGTCAAAACCACAAGGTAAGAGCACAGATCATATATTTTTAGAAAAGTTATCTGGTTACAATTTGATGCCCTCCCAAAGGCAACAAAATTTTATAATTTTACCTCTTACATTTAGGTCTTTGATTGACTGAGTTAATTTTTATATACAGTGTGGGGCAAAAGTAGGTTTACAATTGTGAAAAAGAAAAAATAGTTTGAGAATTCCCAATTCCCAATTTCAACACTTACTATAAGCTACATTAATCAAAACAGTGTAGTACTGACATAAAGACAGGCATATAGATCAATGGAGTATTATTGGAAGTCTACAAATAAACCCATACTTCTCTGGTCAATGATGTCAAAACCATTCAATTGGGAAAGAATAGTCTTTTCAATAAATGGTACTAGGAGAACTGAATATTCACATACAAAAGAGTAAATTTGGATCCCTTATCTTACACCATACAGTGTGAGGCAAAAGTAGGTATACAGTTGCTCATATGGAAAATTATACAATTACTAATATATAATAACACAAGAATAAACTCTGTGTTTTGTATACTCACAAACTTCGGTGCATTAAAGGACACTATTGAGAAAGTGAAAAGGACCTATGGAATGGGAGGAAATCTTTTCAAATCATATACCTGATAAGGGTCTAGTATACAGAATATAAAATGATTGCTTACAACTCAACAATGAAAAGACAAATAACCCTAGGAACATATACAAATGGCCAGCAAACACTAAAAAAGATGCTCAATAACATTAGTTCCCAGGGAAATACAAATCAAAATTACAATGAGATGCAACATTACATTACACTCACTTGAATGGAAGACTCAAAAGAATGACTGCAAGTATTAACAAAGATGAAAAGAAAGTGGAATCATCATACTTATGGCAATGTAAAATGGTACAGCCACTTTAAAAAAGTACTATCCAAGAGAAAAGAAAACAAAACATGCATTCCTATGTACAAAGACATGTATGAAAATGTTCATACCAGCATTATTCAAAATAGCCAAAAAGTGAAAAGTGCAAATGTATAAACAATGGATATATAAAAAAATGGATAAATAGAAGGTTTATATCTATATAAAGTGCAATACTATTTAACAATAAAAAGAAGTACTGATAGATGTTGCACAGGCTACAGAATGCATGCTAAAAGGTGAGCAACACAGAAAATGATTTTAGCACAAAACATAAATCTAGCAGGTAGGATAACATATCCCTTAAGAGCCAAAAGGATTAAGCCATTAGCAATCACTCCACATTCAATCCATCTTACATTCACATTATTTTCCTCACAGTTTCGGGTAATTTGAAGGAAAGTAGAGATACATAAAACTAGAATAAAGTAATGTATTTATTTAATGCCCCAATTGGGTACTCATTTCTTCCTTCAATGGTGTATATGTACATATGTACACACATATGAAAATATATCCTGGGAAAGCCTCCTTATATGCAGAGCAGAAATGGTCAGTCAGGATAGAAATACCCTGATGCAAGTCATATTATGTGATTCCAGCTATCTCTTACCTATGTCACCAGTTCTGCCTATAGTAGCAATTAGTGAAGAGGAAAGAAGAAAACGAAGGCTGAGAGTAGAGGAAATTTGCTTCAGAAACAGAACAGAATGGATAATATTACTTCCCAGTTGTTGACAGATGAGAGTAGGATTCTGAGACCCTGGAGTTGTTACTCGGTCTCACAGTAAATGATTGTGAAAAGGCAGGGATATGAAAACATTCTAATCAGACAGGAAATGTTTAGCAATTACATTCATGAATCTTGACAGTGGGAGCAAGAGCCAGTAGACCATAGGAGACTTTTTCTTTTACCTATTGTAAAGTTTCCTCATCAGTGTTAAGAGGCATTTGTTAATTAAAAATGAAAGGAATTATTATATGATTCTATTTTATTGCCATTTCGAGGAAAGATAATGTGAGATAAATTACCTTGCATGTTATTGAAGGTACAACAAAGCATTTATATAGTTGAAGTTATACAGAGACAGGAAAATAATAGTCTATATGGACTAATTAGAGTGACTGAGAAGGGAAGAAAGGTGAGAAAGTAAACTAAATTTAACTTCAATAGCTATTTCAGTCAATCAATATTTTCTCAATAACGGCCATAATTGTGGCATAAAAGGCCTGGAAAATGTTGCAATGAAATTCACTCATTGTTGTGTATGAAATTGCAACTTTTTTCCTTTCTCTGCCTTTCATAACAATGTTCTTCACCAAGTGAAGGGAAGCAAAATTTGTATACCTATAGTAAATATGAAATGGGACTTACGAACGCTGAAGTGTTCACAGCCTTTCAGCTTATCAATAGCTTTGCAGGCTTCCTCTGTCTTTAGCATTTCCTCTTGTCTTCTTTTGCTTTCTGGATCATCATTCAAAATCTTGTTCCTCAGCCAGGTCAAATGATACACCCGAAGTCTGTTTTTATGGCCTGATAGATTAAAAAACCAATATAGTGTTTCAATCTATTTTTTCATGCATTAGAAGAACAAAAAAGTAAAGGCATTTTGCCGTTGTAGCCAAATGTTTTTATTAAGGTAAAAAGCATTTTTAAAAACTACACTGCATCAGTCTTCCCTTCAGAGTTTGGAAATGTGACAGCAGAGTTTCTCACTTCCAAAAGATAGTCAAAGTGTTTACTAGCTACCTATGTGCCTGTCTGAAGTGAATGTAAAATATTTCTTTGGGACAGGTTAAGACTGTCATTGTGCAGGCAACAGAATTACCATCCATTCATTTGTACCTTGGCTTTCATCTAAGTCATGAACCTTCTAGGATTCAGAGACCCAGAAACTTGCTCTGGCATTGCATATGTTTGAGAGGGGTGTCTAATGTATTCACTGTTAGACATTCAGGAACAGTGGGATAGATCTCTCTGTGCTCTTTCATTTCGGCATACTTCCAAAATAGTTGAATGGTTTTATTGTTATTTTTTCTCAACCCAATTTACCTTCAGTGTTAATCTTCTAATTGTAAATCTGATCAAATTTTTACAATTCCTTCATGAAAATCAGGCCATTAAAATTACACATTTCTTTTTATATATAGTGACTTTATTTTCATTTTAGGGTTTATGATGACAAGATTTCTAGGCCCAATAATATGATTCTTATTTATGAGATAAATCTTAAATATATTTTTACATGATGCTTTTAAAAGCAGTATTAGAATGCAGACATATGTCTATTGCTATTCTATTCTTAAACAGTAAAATAAATTTGTGCTCCAAACTACTAGGCATATTTATACACTAATGTTCTCAGTACTATTTGATGCAAAAATAATCCACATTTGAGAGAAACTTAAGCATTAAAAATGGCACATTTGGGTTAGAGAAAGCTGGATAAAAAGTAAAGAACTGTGATATCCAGCCACCCAGATATTTTCAAAAGCTAAATGTTGCTTCTATGTACCTCAAGCAATTATAAATGGACGACTGTATAACATGATAAAAAATCGTGAAGTTTTAGCATCTATAAAGGATTTTATTCTCTTACTAAAACTTAAAGCAAAGTTAATCATATTTAGGAATACAAATAAACATTAATTAATGTGCAATATGGCTATTAGGAATAGTCAGGAAGTATATAAACATATATAAATGATTGTGATTAGCATCATTTTATTCTACACTCAAACCATTTAAAAATTTTTTCTATCCTTTTGTCTGCCATCTTTCTTTGGCCTACAGTCAGCTTTAATGCTATTGCTTTCCTTACTATTCAGTAATCACCATCATTATGAACATCCATTTACTTGCTCTGTCATATTGAAAGGTTCAAGCTCAGACTGACCAAAGCTAAGAAATTCAACTGCTATATGGGAAGAGTGGAAAGGCTTTAGGGGATCCATTCTTGTTACCCTATCCATAGGGTCTCATGATAAGTTTGTGCCAGAGAGAAGACAGTATCATTTTAATCTAATTATTTACTTCATTCTTTGTTGCTTCGGATACATCACAAAAAGTACATAGTGGGTGTTAATGTGGTCATGTATGCATGGGTGGGTGAAATTGTGAGTTGTGAAATAATAGGTGGCTACTCAGAATCTAAGACGCGAGTCTTGGCCAGGTGGCTCAGTTGATTGGAGTGTCATACCATACACCAAAAGTCTGCGGGTCCAATCCCTGGTTGGGGCAGGTAAAGGAGGCAACGGATCAAGGTGTCTCACATCGATGTTTCTCTCTCCCTCTCTCTCCCTCTCTGTCTTTGTCTCTCTCTCTCTCTCCCTCCTTCCCTATCTCCCTCTCCCTTCCTCTCTCTCTAAAAAATCGATTAGAGAAACCTATCCTACGGTGAGGAAAAAAAAAAAAAAAGACCTGAAAGAATTTGAATGGCATGGTTTTTCTTATCATTGATCTAGGTTAGGTGTATTACAATCAAATATCCAGATACCAAAGAAGAGTCTGAATTTAGTTTAAAACAAAAAACAAAAAAAACCTAGTTAAAAAGTCTGGTGTCCCAATTAAATACGATATTTAAAGTGCTTTCATATGAACACTTTCTTCTGAGAAAGTCTTTAGCCCACTTTGCAGCCTAATTAATCTGTATAATTACTCAGCTAATTTTAGTTCTTAAACAAACCGGAGATGGTAATCAGCAAATTGAGTGGCTCTACAACTTGAATCTGACGAAATGGTCTTCGCTTTATAAGTTTTGTAATATCTGCCTTTCCGCTTCTGTCCATAAGATACAGATTAGATCTGGTTCCCAACAGCAAATTCACTCCTGTTTGTATATAAAAAGAAAAGCTCAGATGACATTTTTATATTAGTACTTTTGCTATGCCAATGTTCTGATTTATACAAAGGTGACTTATCATTTTAGGCTAATGTTAGCCTCATTCTGTGTAAAAATGGGATGTCTACCAACAGAACAAATTTCATTGAAATACATAAAAATACGGAAGACCCTCTGCCAATATCATACTGGCTGGTGTCTAGTGTACCATCGTACAAGTAAAACTTTATGTATATATCAGCACCCTTAGTTGTGTCCCAAACTTCATAAAAATCAATCAACCCTTTGGAAAGTTACCATTAAATATTGAAGATGTCTAGTACCTACAAAGACTTCAATTCAGCTGATTTCTCATTCCTAACTGTAACGAAGGGTTTTAATGTTTTTAAAATATATGTAAACTGATTTAAAATGTAATGATTCTGTGCCCGGCTCAGCGTGGCTCAGTGGTTGAGCATCGACCTAGGATCCAGGAGATCACAGTTCAATTCCCAGTCAGGGCACAGGCCCGGGTTGTGGTCTCAATCCCCAGAGGGGGCGTGCGGGAGGCAGCCGATCAATGACTCTCTCATCATTGATGTTTCAACTCTCTCTCCCTCTCCCTTCCTCTCTCTGAAATCAATAAAGATATATTTTAAACAATAAAATAAAATGGAATGGCTCTGTGTTCACGCATATATTAAAAAACTACATTGCTAAATGTCTATGGAAATTAATCCCTACTTTTATGTATTTAAATTCCTACACTCTGTTATTTGTCTGCTGGCTCTAGTCACTCAAATATAAACACTATTTCAAAAGACCAGAATGACAGGACTGAAATAGAAGATTGAACTGAAGTTAGAATATACTTCAAACCACTGTGGGAGTTTTCCTCCATATGCTAAGACACAGGAGAAAATCACCAAAATAATGTAAGAGAGAGTACTTCAAAATCTTTCTTCTACTTGGAGGATATTTGTGCTCCAAGGGTATAAGAATAGAGGCAAGGGTCTCTGCCTCATTTTCCCACTATGTCTTTTAGCAGTTCTATAAGTAATGCCCAGGCCAGTGGCAGATTTACAAACTGCATTTTTCTCCTACAGTGGAATCCGAGAGGGAGAAGAAAGTACAGTCAATTTTGACTGTAATATTTTATTTTTCAAAATAATTTTTTACTTTATAAAAATTAGTTACTAGACATAAACTAGGTAGTTACCTGACTGAAATGATGATGAAGTAAACTTCATTTTCTTGTAATCTGACACATTATATTAGCAAAACTTTGAGGATGTCAGGTTTTTCCCTAAGTTGTTCAATCCTTATAACTATAATGTCCACTACACTCCTCTATTTTTAATATAAAATACTGCCCCATGTTCAATCATACATTAAGTAAAAGCTATGAAATTACAAATTGGAGGTTGGCATTTAGTTTGGATTTCTCCCCTTCTTGTGTTCATTTATTCTGTTTCATTTATGCTACAGACTGGCTTGAGGTAAAATATTGTTTAAGCACTACTAATGTGGTTATAATTCATCTTCTAGACAAAGGACTGAAAAAGTCTATCAAAGGCATAGAATGAACTTTCTTAACAAATCCTCAAGATTATTTTAAAACAAGAACCTGCAGAAATCTTTTTAATAATATCTCATTAGATATTATATGCTGCACATCCTCTTATATTAAAAAATACTAAGCTCAAATTAAAAAAAAATCATAATCTAGTTCAGTTTTATATTTCAGCTCAGTTAATTCAGGTAAAAAGGAAAAATATAATAAGAAGGGGAGGGGGCACCAATTCAAACATCAAACTACATTCGGTGAAGGTAAGTCAGGAAAAAGGAGCAAATTAACTACTACAAATATATTTTTATTTTCTTGGTAATGGTTTTGTAATAGCAAACAAATGTTTTACACCTATGATTTTCCACAACTTTACTACATAGATAAAATATAATCTTTAAAATAACAACAGCTCAGTTTTAAGAAACCAAACTCACCCCACAATGAACCACAGCAGATCTCAGAAGTGAATTCCTTTTCATACATGTGGATTAGTGGTTTTTTACATGCAGGAGAAACATATAGTGGGTTGACATTGACTTCAGAGGTTTTCTTAGGTGATTTCTCAGGTACTTCCACTAATCCAGCACATACTATGAAGAAGTAAGAAGATATTGAGAGAAATTACTATGTATACACCATATGTGCTTTAGTGTTTCCACAAATAAGACACAGCCTAGATAAGTTCCTCTTCCTTTATGGTATTTTATTTTTTAATGTAAGGATCATTTCTGTAACTCATAAACCATCAGATAGCACAAATCATGACAGTTAAAATACATTTTGGAATATAAATATATGTCAAGTTACTGGGATTAGATTGTAAAAAAAAATCCAAAGAAGGGACTCAATTTCTCAATTGTAGTTCAAATTTGGGTGCCATATAGAGTCAGTGAAGAATAGGTTTTTAAAGCATATATCCATTTGGATTTCTGTCAACTGAATATCAGAAAGATTTAATTCTTCTCAGATCATGAACCAGTGGTCAAACACTATATTTAATACGTGAGCAGACTGCAGCATTTGGAGATTAAATACACTTACAGATGGCACTGGCAAACTCAGCATTTGCAGCCGTCCCAGAAATGCTGGAAGGAGATGAGTGGCTGGCAGAAAAACCTAATTCTGTTGATGCTTCAGATATGTCTATACTGTCATTCTCATCATCAGGTTCTGCGGGTCCAGCACCTGAGGCAATGGCGTTTGAGATCTCACTTCTACCAACTGACTCCTAAAAGATGAAAAAATAATTTTGACTTTATTAGGAGTTTAACAGTGAGAAAATTATAATATGACTGGGGGGTCATTTGAAAAATAGAATGCAAAACTTGTTAACATCTAAAATTCTGCACCCTTATAAAATGCACATTTACCAGATGAACTCAACAATTTTATCTGAAGAGAGAGACATAACCTATGTTGAGATAATTTATGTCAGAAGGGAAATTCAAGGAGCTGGAAGTCTCTAGCTCTAGAATTTGTGAACCTAACATTTGTGGAATTTTCACTATGTACCTGGTACTCTGCCAGACATCTTATTTACATACCATTGTGGGTCCTTACAACAACTCCCAAAGTACGTATAATTATTTCCATTTTACTTAGAAACTAAAGCTTAGCAAAGTTAAAAAATGTATTTAAAGGCATAGAGGTAAGTAAGGGGACCGGAGTTTGAAATCAAACTCTGATTGATTCCAAAGCTTACATTCAGCTGTGCTATGCACAACAATCACTTGAAAATATTAAAAGCACCAGTGTGGGGATATCAGTTCCACTTTGTAAAATTGCAAATCTAATGATGAAAAATCAGCCAACAGAAACTCAAAAATGTAAATATGCTTCACTGAAAATGTAGCCAGCTTCCATTAAGTTACAGAGAAAAAACTCAGGGATAAAAGCCACAAAATGTCAAAGATTTTATGTGGAATGCTATATCCTGTGGAAAAACCTACCAACTGCTTTTTTTTTGTAGGCCTATCTGTTGATAAGAATTTCTTGGTGTCTAAAGAGGGGTTTTTGGCATTGAGAGAGTTGTGATATCCTTTCAAATACTTTTTTTTTTTTTTTTACAGGTGAAACTTTTTAATTGTTGAGAGTATTGCAGGTGTCCCCCACTTCCCCCCCTTACCTCCTTCCACCCATCTCCCACCCCAGCCCAGGCTCCTGCCTGTCCACTGTCTGTGTCCATGGGTTGTTCATATATGTTTATAAGTTCTTTGGTTAATCTCTTCCTGCCCTCCTTCCGACCTTCCCTCTGGGATCTTTCGGTCTATTCCATGCTTCCATGTCTGTGGGCCTATTATGTTCATCATCTCTTCTGTTCCTTAGATTCCACATATGAGTGAGATCATGTGATATCTGTCTTTCTCTGAATGGCTTATTTCACTTAGCATAATACTCTCCAGGTCCATCTATGCTGTCCCAAAGGGTAAGAGATCATTCTTTTTTACCACTGCATAGTATTCCAAAGACTTGTTTTTGTGACCTTTCCAATCACAAAAATGTTGTATGGCAACATGTTCTTTTAAAATTAAAATGGATGTAAGATCCATTCCTCTGTAAATGTCAAAAATTTCCTTTGAGATAATTGGAGATACCCAGGGGTGCTATGAAAACTTTTGGGGGCATCCTGTTTAAATATATTTAAGTAAGATAGATGGGTAGATAGGTAGGTAGACAGACATGCATATAGAGACAGACATAGCTACTTTCCCACTGATATTGCTTTCCCATTGGAATTCATCTAGGGAGTCCTTCCTGCCTTTTATCTTTGTTTTCTGCCTTCACTGATTTCTTCCATAATTATTATAACTATCATAGACCAAACCCTAAGATGGGCCCTGCGGTTAGGTGAGTGGGTAAAGAAAAGTAATCAGAAGAGAAACAAGCTGGCGGCGTAGGTAACAGCTGCTTCTGCCGCCTCCCGCAACCACATCAAAATCACAACTAAAACACAGAACCACCATCACTCAGAGCCTCCTGGGATCCGGCTGAACAGAAGCCCCACAACCAGGGAGCTGAAGGAGCATCAAG